GTGTCCACTCTCACTGCTTTCAGAAAGGGTGTGGCGACAAGTAAATAAAGGGTCCACTCTAAAGAAAGATAAATAACGGGCCCACTCTAGTTGTAATTAGCAACTAGATTTTGCCCAGAGTTATTCCATCACCAGCTTGAAGATGTATTTGTTCGCCTAGACATTTTCCTAACTGCTAACCTCATCAGATACACTGGTATTTTTTTATTTTACACGGTATTTTTAATGAAATCTTTATTGGTCAGGTGTAGATAAAAATCACAGGGATAATTGCTAGGGTTTAAATAGGAATGGGAGACAGTTTGTCATAGGGAGGATTTTGGCCACATGATTTGCGGGCCTGCTTGGTCTACTGTTTCCAGGGACTAATTGCTGATGGACAACTTCCAAGTCATGACGTGTTCCTTTCTTAGGGCTCTTTGGGTACAAACAGGACTTGGACTGAACAGTCCTTTGTCAGGAAGCTTCAGTGGGTCCAAAATGCAGCAGCCAGATTGCTGGCTGGCACTGGTTAACAGGGATCACTTCTCCCAGTCCAAATTCAATTCTGGGCACAATTCAAAGTACTAATTCTAACATATGAAGCCCTAAATGGCTTGGGTCCAAGCTGTCTCAAAGATTGTGTCTGTCATTATGAAATAGCCGGGTGTTAAGATCATCAGGAGACACCTTTCTCTCGGTCCCATCACCATCACAGATGCATCTGGTGGGGACCTTTACTGTTGCTGCTCACAGACCTTGGAGCTCCCTCATACAAAATTCTGGGCACAATTCAAAGTACTAATTCTAACATATGAAGCCCTAAATGGCTTGGGTCCAAGCTGTCTCAAAGATTGTGTCTGTCATTATGAAATAGCCGGGTGTTAAGATCATCAGGAGACACCTTTCTCTCGGTCCCATCACCATCACAGATGCATCTGGTGGGGACCTTTACTGTTGCTGCTCACAGACCTTGGAACTCCCTCATACAAGAAGCCAGACTAGCTCCATCTTTGCTGTCCTTCCACAAGCAGGCAAAGGCCTTTCTCTTCAGACAAGCGTTCCTTTAAATGTCCTGTTGACCAAGGGGATTTTTAATTGGATTGTTATGCATTACTATTTTGAATATGTTTTTAGCATTGCTTTTTTGCTCACCATTTCTCATAGTGGTATTTGTATGAACCTTTTTGGTATTTGTATACTTATTGTTTTTAGCTTTAAATATTTAATTGAAATTATGTAAGCTGCTTGAGTTCTTTTTGAGGAGAAAGGTAGAGTAAAATTATTTAAATAAATAAAAGAGGATGCCTTTAAACAGAGAGCTGTCGTCTGTAGAATATATGGCCATCCCAGACTAAAAAAACTAGAAAGAAAGAAAAAAGAAAGAAAGAAAGAAAGAAAGAAAGAAAGAAAGAAAGAAAGAAAGAAAGAAAGGAAGGAAGGAA